TTTTTTTTTTGGCTAGAGTAGTCTGTTTCAGCGGTGAATATTTAGAAATTTGTGAAACCCGTCATACACCTCTCCCCTGCTCTTTGCATGTCATACTCTCCACATATGTCTTTCCTTCCCATTGCCCCTACCTCCCCTGTCCCATACTCCTATAGAACTCCGCCTTCTATCCCTTACCCTCCACTCCCTTACTAACAAATACTTACGAATGAGCGTCATTAAGATAGTAAACGATATGAAGATCAGAAATGAATTGAGCGGAAGTATGAAGATGAAGGACAGACACAAAGACTGTATAAGCTGAAGATCTGAAGCGAAGTGAACAGGAGTATGAAGCTCTGAACAGATGCACAGGAGCATACCTTCCCTTTTACTCTGCCTCCTGAAATAACGTGCAAGTGGGCCGTGAAGGCGAACGGGGATGTGGGTGCTCAACCACAATCAACGTGGACAGCCTTGTGCGTAAGAGGCACGGTAAAAGGGGAGCTGCAAGAACAATGAAAGGGGTACCCCAAGGACAACCAAAAAACTGTCTAATTATGTTGGACATCTCAAATGCTCTCGTTGTCTGCAATCGGACAAAGACTGCTTTGATTCTGAATCTATTCACCTGGGTGGAATTGGTGCCATTGTGGGGAAATCTAAAGCACACACACACACACACGTAGGAGCCACGTTGCCTGTGACATCTGTCTGCGCCGTGCCATTCGATGCAGCAACTGTGACTGCGAAAACTGGATGCGGTGCTTCCACAGTCCACACCCGAACCGGTCCTGTCCGGTCTGTAGGGATGGTCACTTACCATAGGCAATAACTGCTCCTTGACTCAAAATCTTGTGCAACCCAAACACCAACGAACCTCGTGTGCTATTCCAGAGGTGAGTGTTTAGAATTCTGCGAAGCCCATCATATACCTCTCGCCTGCCCTACCCTTGCACTCTGCTTTCCCCCTACCTCACGTCCTGACAAACTTACCTCCTGTCCCTTTCCCTCCGCCCTCTCCTTATGTGCAACTAGGAAATACATACGAATGAGCATCAGTAAGAGTACAGACAAAAGTATAAGTTGAAGATTTGAAGAGAAATGAACAGGAGTATGAAGACGAACGACAGACACAAAGACTAAGCATATGCTGAAGATCTGAAGTGAAATGAACAGCTGGAGAAATGAAGTGAAATGAACAGCTGGAGATCTGAAGTGAAATGAACAGGAGTATGAAGATCTGAAGTGAAGTGCACAGGAGCATACCTTCCCCTTTACTCTGCCTCTTATTATAACGTGCAAGTGGGCCGWTAAGGCACACGGGGATGTGGGCAGCTGCCGCTCAACCACCATCAACGTGGGCAGCCTTGTACGTGCGAGGCGAAGTGAAAGAGGAGCTGTTGCCCCAAAGAAACCCTAGCTAAACACGGCTGAAAATGGTTCTATTATGATTCGTGCTGCCTGTTAAAGAAGAATTTTTTTTTTTTAAGTGTTGGGCGGACTCAGTCCGGTCTACTCATCTGGTTGGAATAGGGGTTGTTGTGGGGGAAGCTTATCACTCACACACACACACACACACACACACACACACACACACACACACACACACACACACACACACACACACACACACACACACACACACCCCTGTGGACGCCCACTATGCCCCTTCTCCGGGACCGGAATGGCCGAAAGGGCCCTGATACCAGCCACTCAAGGACGCGTTCGGCAGCCCCCTAATTTGCGATTGGCTGAACATGTTTGGTTCGCGCTCGGCTGAGCGTCCGAACATGTTCAGTGTGCTACGCTGGCAGACACTTTGCATCTGAGGCGCGTTCGTCCGTAAGAATTTGCGTGTCTTTGCGGATACCGCTAAATATGTCAAAAGACTTCAAACCCAAGGTTTCCTCAAAGGGAATGAGGCATAAGCCGCATAACCATGTTTTGGACGTATGCACTTTCCTCAAAGTGAAACTAGAAAAGCATGACTGTGCCAGCCTGTTTCCTCGGACTTTCACCGACTCATCGGGAGGTTGAACCCCGACAGTCTTCCCACGATGCATTTGACTGATGCGTAAGGACTCACCACGTTAACCAAAGTTAGTGATACCCCTGAGAAAAGTGGTGGACTTCACTCTCACCATCCCTGCAATGGTAGCAGACTGTTGATCCCATCCCCTGACGAGAATGGCAGGAAGACTGAGAAACTGGTCTGGCACAGACATAAACTCACACCACCACTCAGCCATGGACATCCAATGGCATGACCGCTAGTCAGGTCCTAACCCTAACCAAATCAATCAGCCGAACGGAGAGCTTAGCAAGGTTGTATTGTGTGTTTGTCATGTGTGTGTGTGTGTGTGTGTGTGAGAGAGAGAGAGAGAGAGAGAGAGAGAGAGCACTGTGTGAATGTCTGGAGGGTGTGACGATCAAGTGTTGTTTCTGCGTCAAGCAGCTGTTTTATCTACCCTACCACCCTGAAGTTTACCTGCTGCCGGCGTCTTTCCTGACTTTATTCCTACAATTGTCAAATCTTCTTAAAAAACTTTGCCACCTGAAGAGAATGGCACTAAGACTGAGAAACTGGTCTGACACGGACTTAAAGCCCACTCTACATTGGGCATCCATACTGGACATCGATACTGGGTTCTTGCGTCAGTCCAAATTTATCTCCGAAGGCTCCAAAAATCAAGAGGGACAAAGACGAGATCAAGGGAGAACACTGAAAGTCATGCACGGTTATCAAAAACCGCCCTTGCAGCAGGGCCAATCCATCAACAAGACTCAGATCTGTCTACAATCCTAAATCAGAATGGGATGGAAACAAAAGTGATGAAAGAACAAGCCTAAATTGCCTAAAAAATGGCTCAGCCCTGGGTGAAGGACACAAGGGACTGATGGGACACTGACAGGTCAGAGTCAATCTTTGCTGACTCTACCTCCTCGAACCATAACAATAGAGTGCTCTTGTAAATTATGGCCTTCTCCCGGAATGTATGCAATAACCTCATTTCGATTGGTTAATCTCACTTCAGCTATTTTGCGGATCTCGGGCTAATGCCGTCGGATCTGTCAGTCTCGTCACTATCGGACCACAGAGGGCTTTGAAGTACCAGGATCTGTCAGTCTCATCACTGTCGTCACTGTCGGGCTAATGTCGTCGGATCTGTCAGTCTCGTCACTATCGGACGGCGGAAGTCGCAGGAAGGGTGTCCGCGTAGTCGGTGTGTTTCGGGAACCTCAGCACCCCTTGGTGCACTAGATCCAAGTGTCGACACGAGCATGAATTTCCAATCCTACACCAGCGGCAGTTTAATTGGGGGTTCCACGTGGCATGCATAGCCAACGAGGGAAGCACTGTAAGACCAGTGTAGGGAAGGATTAGTTGGGGAGAACTGAAGCAATCAATCAAAACAGACCCCTCCCCACCAATGTGACAAGTATTCAACGGGTTATAGAAGTGAATCTGGTCGGTCCGCAATCGGGTGTATGGCGTACCGATGCTATGTTTGAACGCGGGCAATCGCCCGCATTAACACTCAAACAAGCAAACCTCAATTCTATGCAACTTCAACTCAGACCCCAGTTCTCTTATCCAAGTGCAAACCAAAATTATGAGAATGTATCTAAGGACAAGGACACAATCAGAACGACTGCAATGATGCTAAAACAGAGGTCGTCAATCTCATCCATACATAGACAGACTAGGTGACCCAGATCACCTCGCCTTCCTCATGCAAGCGGAAGAGTGTAAAGAGAAAACGACATCGTGACTCACATCATGCAAAGAGAACATCTAAGATACACAGAGACGGGAATCACCCAGCTCATTCATGCGCTAAGGCAGAAGGCTGAGATCGGCTTAGCCTCTTCAACAGATGCTAGTGGAAGAGTTCAGCGAGAGTGACAATAACCAAACAACCATCGTCCACACTGGGTATCCATATCATCCATGGGACTTTGACTTATTCCTGACAACAAAGCAAACATGCATCCGATCAACACTCAGAGGCAAGGCCATGCACACGACTTATTATAGACACTTAGTCTTCTACACACATGCACACTTGGACAAGCAGCGATGGGGACAAGTAATGTCCCTTGCAACTTCTTTAAACAACATTAACGCCAGCGCTGCACAGGCATGGGCACCATGTCTAACCTCAAGGTGTGCGCCAGCCTAGCCACAAGGCCCGCACACCTAGCCGCAAGGCCCTGCTCCTGGTCGCACCCTGGTCTCCACCACGGCGCAGTCTCCTCGAGTACCACCTATTGATGCTATCGCTAAGCTTACCCCACGCGGTCACTCTGCCTGTCCTTTGGCATATGGAGCCTGTTCGGCGCCGCAACCTACAACTTTGCAGAATGTATAAACCCACTTTCCCGCCCTAAGTTCAGTTTCAATTTTTTTTTTCTCTTCTCTTCGTCAGTGGACCTGACACCCCTGCCGTAATGCCCTCACTGAGGGCGTACTCACACAACAACTTTGGGGCAGGTATCTACCTTCTATCACGTCCAGAGGGTGGTTTGTTTTTTTTCATTTTCTTTTTTGTGGTTGTGAGTGCATCGTTTTTTTTAAGTCTGGCTGTGCTTTTCTTTTTCTTTTTCAGAAGAGAACCAGAAAAGAAACAATACAGACCCCAGGCTCGGCAAAACTTGGTGCGCAGTGAAAATCGGGGTCGGCAAAAACAGGCACGGAGCTAGTTGTGGTTTAAAATAATCTTTTTTTATGTTCAGCCAACCATCAAGGATTCAAACTGCTATTCTGCTTACTAGCAGTTACGTGTGTAGCCTGCAGCCACACACAGCCACATGCCCAGTGAAGTTCTTGTCTTAGGTCTGTGTCAGGGCAGACTAATATGAGGACTTTAATGGCAAATCTAGCCACAAGTATGGGCTGTACCCTTGCTGTTCTAAGTTACCTGGTGTATTTGCGGCTTCCTTTTTCTTGTGCCAGGTTTGTTCCCCGGTCATCATACAAGAGTAAGCTGGAAACGGATATCTATGAGCGGATACCAGGAAGGCAGAGTGATAGGAAGACAATGCTTGGTGAACTGAACTGGATCTTCACGGCTATAACTGACACAATTGCGTGGGATGTCTTACCGAGAGGTAGGTCATATTGCTGCTTTTTTTCCCTGCCTGAGCACCCCAATCCCTGTTATTGGGTTGGGTAGTGAGGCCGTAAGGATTCCACAGATGTCATGTTGGGACTTGTATTGAAGACACATTACGTAGCACTCCACACAGAGATGACAAACACAATATCACTCAAGTCAATACTCAATCTCGAAAAGTTGTCAACGAAACAATTGAGTACAGGTTTTGGCCATCCCCAACGTCGTGTTTTGGCAGCCGCCAGGCTGTCTTCCTCAGCGGGATTTCCTTTGTACTTTTCCCTGATGCTCCTCCCTACCATCCAATTATCCACTTCCCTTCCTAGTCCCACTAACATCCTGGAATATCAGCGGACATAGAAATGTCAGACCTGACAAAGGACTGAGATGAGTGTACCCACCTGACAAAGGACTGAGATGACCGTCGGGATCAAAATGGAAGTCATGCAGTGCACACCAGGTTGGCTCAAGTAAGCTAGTCCAGTAAAAAACCTATGTAGGCTATGTATGGTAGCTTCAAGTAAGCTAGTCCAGTAATAAACCTATGTAGGCTATGTACGGTAACACTCTTCAATATAGCATCTGGCGGTTACCAGGATTGATTCTGTGATGCAGAATTCGAAGCATTGAAAAACAAATCTCACCAGGAGTTCAAGGCAGAACAGTTTAGTAATGCAGGATGGAGTTCCAGGGCCATTGGTTTGACCATTGGGTGTAAAAGTAACCTCCGTTTAGTCCTCGAGCCTGGGACCTGGAAAGGCCAAAACCGTGCTAATTGGACCAAGCTCAAACAAGTGTGTCAGGACTGTCTGGAAACGTCAAATCAAATGACCAAATTGAGTAACACAATACAATCCATTGATTCATCACCACCTTGCATCCTATGAAACATTGACATAGCAAAACTCCTTGACGCACCAATATTTTGCATCCTATAAAACATTGACACAGCAAGAAGACAGTCAGTAATATCTGAGCATCTCTGTTCATCATACATGTGTTCTCTAGTTCCAGAAGCCGAGAATCTGTTCCCATATCGTACCTTGTCTGACCGCAAATCTTTTCGAGACTTCGGTGAAAAAGTCTGCAGGAAACCCTTTCGCAATGAACCCAGTCAGGAGAGAAACTTGTCAATGTCAAATTACAAGATGTCTCGGTGCAAGTCAATGTCTCCAATAATCATGAATGTGATCCGAAGTACAATGTCTTGTAACCAAGGGACGAAGCTGATAGGAGGGAGATAAGACTTAGAGGGCGGAAGAGAAAGTATCCATCAATGTCATCGAAGATAAACTCCCCCATGTCCTCTCTGTCCACGTCAGCGCCACGTAGGCACAGATCTCCCGTGAAAACTTCACAGCAGCGCGCAACGTTGACAGCCATAGTCAGGTAAGCTTCCCTCTCTCTCACAACCAATCTCACAGCCCTGATCTCGCTCCTCGTCGATACCCCAATCTGTGTCGAAGACAATGTGCCCAACGCCACATCAGCAATCAAGATCCCAGCGAGCGCCAAGAACAGAGAGGCGTCAGCAACGCAATACAGCAGTCTCGCGTCGTCGTCACACAAAATGTTAGTGTTATTTAGTGTTGTGCCAGCGTCGAGCAGCAAGTGCAAAACTGAATGTCAGTTAGTAGGGTCCGGGTCAACTTATAGTTGACTTGAGGTTGACCAGCGTCTGGTCTCTCGAATACTAGCGCCCAGATTGACCCATGGGCAATTGCCTGGATCTCTTACAGTTGCAGATTCCCACTTGGACTGGATTCTTGGCGAATACCTACAAACAACCAATGTGTGTGTCTGATCGGTGGCCTGGGCTGGGTTCGTATGAACTTTGACTTGTGAGGCTGAATTCTCGAGCTGCTGTTGACCTTTGACTTTCCATGGTTAACTGTCACACGTAGGGCCTCTGAAGCCCATGTTTAGGCCGTGCGTCAGGTACCCACAGCAGCAGGCCTCAGAGCAGGCAATTTCTGTAGCCTGGGCGTGGCCTTAGGCCCCTATTATGGCCCTTAGTACCCAAGCGTCGATGTATGGCTCAGGACTATTGCACATTTTACGTTGAGTTATTACACTTTCATCATCAGTTCGTTTTTCAAGATCAACATCCACATCAGTATCTCAGATCCTATTATGGTGTTCTGACCAGTACGGCGGAGGTAGCTACATAAAAATATTATAATTGCACTATTCTTATTTTTTTTTTCGTTTAAAAAAAAAAAAAAACGGCAGGTGACTGGCCCCAGGTAAATCGAGGTTATTATGGAAGTTATTGTGGATTATATGTCATGATCATGACTTAATGAACTTCTTATTGAGCTTATATTGTGAGTCACAGGTATGTTGAGAGTTTTTGAGCCTCTGGAAGTATCGTGAAATCGGGGGTCTCAACTCTGATAGGCATTGTAATCGAGCCATGAATGTCAGCAATGCTAGTACTGACTGAGAACTCAACCTGAGAGCTCTGTTAGGATGTATACTGGGTGTGTCCTGACTGGCTGCAGCAGGACCTGAGCAGCCACTTCCACGTCGCCTGGTGCTCCCGCATTGCTAAAGGTTTCAGGACGGCACAAGTCACCCCAGCGAGTTACCAGTATTGACTGGCCGTGGCCACCAATCCTCCTCAGGCCACGGAAAGTGGCGGCAACGGGTATAGAACCCAGCACCTAGGAGGTGCTGCTCTGGCATGAAACCTACTGAGCTGGCACTTTTCTGACTTTGCGACCCCAAGAGAAGAAAGACTGGCCATTTGGTTTTCCAAGCTCCATTCGTGCCATGCACTCCATTCATTCTCCGACATGTGAACATAGCCTATGTACAGAAATCTGTGCGATGTCCTGATTAAGCAACCCAAGAAATCTAGTGCTCCAGTGTCATCATCCGTCCTCTTTTGGCATAGGTTTGTCGTATAGCAGTGCTCGAAATCATGCATAATCCTGGTCAGAACATTCCCTGGAAGCGACACGGTGAATAGGGCCATACCATCTATGAATATCAAATACCTGTCAACTAGAGCCCCATAAGCTACAGATAAACTTGTACTCAACCTATGCACCTAGGCTACCAGAGTGCCCTGGGCCCACTTGCCCAGCCAGGCCAAAAAAAAAAAAGAGACAAGAAAAGCAAGGAAACGAGCTATGCGAATGACAATTGCAAGGAATATGAGCAAGAGCGATACATGGAAAACCAAGTTGCGAAATCACACAGATGTCCAAGTAGTCATGTGCGAGCAAAATGCTCCGAGATTCCATCCAGATAAGAGCAATACAATGAACTCTCGTGCCAATGTCCAAGCCCTCAGGCCAAACCAACACCGTACCAATGTCGCTCCCACTCTGTCTTCCGCCCAGCACCCAGCCTACACTACTCACCTATCCTACTACACCAGCGTTCAGGCAAAAGGCTCACTTCGACCTTGAAGACCAATGTACATGACGTCAACACCATAGCTGACCCCCCTCATGCACCAGGTATGTATCTCATCTCTACTCATCACCCCTTCCAACAGTGTGCATTCTCAACACCCAAAGACCACCATCCCCATCCAGTCCTGCGCTCAGCAACCCGGCTATGGTTGCCGTGCGCCCACTGTCCAGCAGTGCACCTCACACCTCAGCGCCCGTGTGCGCGACCCAGCCGGCAGCTTCATGTCAAACATGAAGTTGCAACGCAGCAGCGCGGCCGCTTTGCCTGCCCAGGCCAGAATGACCTCCCCAGCGATGCTCACTCCTGTATGGTGAGTGAGCTGGGCGAGCATCCAGTAGCTTCCAGTCGGGCCTCAGTGTGTGCGTCCAGACCCAGTTAGTTACGGGCCTGGGCCCTTTACAGTTGGCCGCGTCCAGGCAGTCCACGGGCCTCCACAGGTTCGCTGTGATCGCATTGGCTCACGGCCACTTTGTGCCGACAATGTTGCCATCTCATTGGTCTGTGGCTGTTGTATGATGTGTCAGCCTCTGAAAGCACACGCCCAGGGCATTAACTGTACGGGGCCCTGGGCTCAACTGCCAGTCGAGGCTGCAACTTCCGGAAAGAGCCTGGAGGGGCTCACATTGCTCTGTAACTAACTGGCATGCTGCAACTGTCTGATACCCACATATGGAAAAATGTCAAATCTTGGCCTCTTGTGAATATTCAGGCCCGCCTTCACTTAGGGCGGGCACAGGGCTTCCTGAGGGCCTCTGCCCAGAACATGTGCATGTCTGTTAAGGGCGCCGCAAGGGCTCATTCCCCGCACATATACAACCTTTAGGGTGATCACACTGGCCTGTACCCAGGCCTTGGCACATATTGGCAGGCCCGCCTTCACTTAGGGTGGGCAAGGCCTTTCCCAACTGAAACGGTTTCACCCAGTTGACCTGACATTGCAGTCACAGAGATTCGATCCGTAGGCCTGTGCCACAACCCTGTACATTGATCCCGTGTGCTGAGTAGGATTCGATCCCTAGACCTGTTCCACATCCCTGATTAGTCTGTAGTTTGGGCAGTAGGACTTGATCCCTAGGTCTGTAGATTAGCAGCTATATCTGTTGCCGGTAGGCTTAGGAAGTCTGTTCTAAAAGTCTCTACGAAGTCTGTTGAGGACTGGAATCTGTCTGTAGGTCTGTACAGTCTAGAAGGTCGTAGTCCAGTCAGCAAGTACCAGGGGTAAGGGCTGCACGTGGGGAAGGTTCTGGAGCACGCTGTGGGTTTCACACGTTTTGGCCCAGAAGGCCAAACGTCTGGAAACTTCCCTGGGCCACAC